TAACAGACGCTCGCCGTTGTCAGTCTGCCTAGCTGAGCTTCTGAAGAGCTCAGACGATCTACTTGCGCATTCACATCTCATGCAGTGACTGTGAGTTCTGCACTGGCAACATTGCACAGCAGCTTGTTCACTTCGTGGTATAAATTGTATTTGGCAGCATCAGAACTGCAGTCGGTGGGGGCATAAGCGGAAACCACAAACAAACAGCGTCTTGTGCTGCCTTATGAATCAAACTTAGCTGATGTCGTCAAACGGGCTGCACACAAAAGCCATTCACTGGAACCGAATCAACCATCTATGGCTCAGCCTTGGAGCTGAGAATGATTTTCACCCTAGCTTGACCTGTGGTTGCCGCAGCACTGGCCCCGGATTTGTGCAACCAATATCAAAAGGATAAGTCAGGCGCAATTGTTTCAACAGCAATCTGATGGTCATTGATTCTATTTTCGGACAGCCGGCCCACGTCCATACGCAGTGTGTTCAACATGCTTGCGAGTGCAGCCTGTTTACCAGTTTATCCTAGAGTGAGAATGTTAGACTGTACTAGGTAAACGGGATTGCGTGGCCTAATAAAGTCTGCTACCCTTAGGCGTCTACTGGGTGGTGTGGGAAGATAGATGCAGACGGTTCAGTTCCAGTGGCATTACGCTGCTGTCAGTTGAGCTGAGAATTATCCAATGCAAACTAGTAATGGGGATCAGGATGAGAGAAAGAAAAGCATGTAGAAAAGAAAGAATAAAGGCTCCAAAAGTAGTATGTTTTCGCTTATCTGCCCTGCTGTATGCAGCAGATAAGGCGACCCATGATAAGCTGCGCGACGGGCGATGTAGGATGAGGTTGAAGTTGGAGGATATAGGCTTGGTTATGCATGGGCTGGAATACTGGCGGGGCGCCCAGATCTAGACGGGAGAATGATTAGGATACGCAACTAAAGCCTTTGGCTCTGAGGTCTCTGCGCAAAGGAGCGGAGGTAGCAGTGCTTCGGTTTTATTAGAATGGACACCATTTTACTTCCAACCCCCAACTTGGATTTTTTATCTCACTAGATAGAACCCTTCATCGGCGTTCAAACAAGCCCTCATTGGTTCCAGTTTACCATTGTGTGAACAGGCACAGGGCAGTGTACGTTCTCATGCGGGGAATCCCACTTATCCCCTCGGTAAGTCCACCGAGCGCAATCTATATACCCGGGGAAGAAACTTCATCGTGTGCTTGACCGCACAGGCACACGAATGTGCTCGACCGGTACGCCAGACGAACGTCTAATAAGGACCCTTCACGGTCACTCCAAAGCGGCGTGAACCGTGTGATCTCTTCAACAGCCACTGGCTAAGAGTGAACCACCTCAACAAGTCGCTTAGTGGGTGCGGTGACTAGTCAGCCCCCGGTTAAGGACTTACGTAGCTTATTTGCCTAATTTCTCAAAGTGTGTATTCCCTTTTGCGGCTGCTGTACAACCTTCCGTACTGAGTGCACTAAACTGCGAACAAACAAGGCAAAATTCCACAAAAGCAAGCCGGGCTCTACGGCGCCGTATTAAGTGCACGTTCATCCTACTGGTAAAAAGCGTGGTCCTATTAACGCAGAAGCACGATCAACTACCATCTTAAGTTGAAGCGATGGCGGCCGCCAAAATCACCACGGTTGGAGTTAGCATAGCAGACTGCGCAACCCAAAATTTCCCATTAATCGCTCCTCCAAGCCCAATGACCATGGCCCGCAATACCGTCGGCAAAAGTACACCAATGCCTCGGAAATCCTACGGTTATTCCAATACCACAAGTGGTTTACATTCTACTAATCAAATCGACAGTTCGATCAAAGCACTTGCATGCAAGGCTTTGTTCAGTCTCCCACCTGTGCCCATAACGAGAATGCAAGGCGGTACCATTGAAACTGACGAGCGTAGTGATGTTCTACCTGTGCAAGCACGACCGTTTGTTCTTGGTACTTCATTGAGTAGTTCAACCATCACGCGTGACATATCACAAGTTACTAAGAAACAACAAGTCCTGGATTCAGTATTAGTAGAAATAAGAGTCATGCAGTTAGATGATCGCAAGTAGTAGGACTGCACCAGTAACCTACTTGATATTGCGGTTAAACCTGAAACTTTAACGCGGCTCATGCGTCATCACACTTCTAAGCATTACGAGGAGCCATAACTGCGAGTTATGTTGGACTCAATCATCGAAGCAGAATCAGTCCTGTTGTCTACAGGTCGTATAAGTAATGAACACTACTCAATTCGTTTTTTGATACCCCGTGGGGCGAGCGTTGCAGAAGTAAGCACAGCTTAGATAATTAGCAAAAGGAAACCTTAGCCAGGACCATCCTTGTCCAAAACGTTTCTGAAACTGAAGCATGCGATTTGCAAGAAGTACCAACTCATGAGAGGGAGCAATGGTGTTACTCTTTGAGCAGCGTGCTGGCGAAATTGGTTTCATGGCTGGGCACGTCAGTAAATTATAAATAACGCGGCCCAGAAGCAATGTAGGAAGTTTTTCTATCAAAATAAAGGGCAGCACGGCTACGGAAAAGCTGGCACATGTTTCATTCCCGGCTAGCAGCTGAGCTTCGGCTGACGATGGCGAGCGATAAGCCCCTCTCGAAAGACAACATACCTCCCAAAGTACCAACAACGATGGGAATTTTACTCGAATAGTACACCAGCAGTGTGTGACGGGCCCATGTAACCTGGTAATGATGCCAATGGCCAGAATCCTTATACTGTACATAGATGGCTAGATGGGGGATTACTTACCAAGCCGCTACACTGTGGGCGAACAATTAGGCAACAAGCCCCTAATAAACGATTAGTCGCCGACCATCATCATCATCATTATACACGTCAGCTAGAGGTGGGAAACATCTCAGCTAATGTGCCGCAAAATGTAAAGGAAAAGGAAAATAAATACAACAGTTGCATGCCAGCTGAACTACCAGCAACGGATAAGCATCGTTCCGGTAAGCTACCAGCCGGCTGCTAGGCAAAAGAAAAAAGTTATTGTGTTTTACAGTTTTACACTCACTGGTATGCGAACTCTCTCGTCGGCGCAGTGCTGGAATCTGACAGGCTTTCATGTATATATACTAACGCCCAAGGGCTGTTCAGCAAACTTACTGAACTTTGGCTGTCTGGTCGCGAATGGTTTGTACTGAAATCGTGTTGCACCAAGAAGTTACTGATGCTTATGTCGAGATACTAGAACTGTCCCTCATCCGAAAGAACCGTCAAAGCAGAGAAGACGGGATTCTTCCATACTACTGCAACGGCCTTTGGTTTGCGATAGGTGACCCAGAAGCTTATGCCGGCGACACTGATTCATTCTCCGATATACACAAGGGCGCATGTCTCGTAGCTGTCATTTATCGCCCCCAGCATACACTCCGGAAATGGATGCCCGCTTGTTACTCGCTCTGTGCAAGGTAGCACACCCTGGGTTAAGCCATAACCTAAACTTAGAGGATTTCATTGTATACGTTCTGGAGGTATCGGCATCTCCCAACGAACAGTTCAAAGCCGACTTGCATGAATTTAACGCTTATATTCCCTTATTAGACCATGCCATCTCTCCCATAAGATTCTGGGTAGTAAACAAACTATCAGTACTGGACCTTATGCTCTCACATGTAGAGCTCATGGTCCACAAGCTATTTATAGAATCTATTAGACCTCAACGACCTTGTAGTCGTAACATCTGACAACGTTTGCTACACAGAGTACCCATCTTAACATGCGTAATTAACTCATGCAACCACCCGCGATCACGTCTTGAAAGAACTCATGGAGGCGTCCACTTGAGAGTTCTCGAAAACGAGTCTCCATGCTAGAGTTTGGCTGGTCGATATGCCGTGAGGAGACGAAGACCTCCACCTTATGGATTCTCGCCGCGCTAACCAAATGTTGTGCGAGGAAAGGAAAATTGAATTTTACCAGCAATTGCATATCCATATGGTTATAGTTACAATTTCGCAAAGTCGGGTGTGTGCGGCGCGCGTCAGCAGGAACGGAATATAAAAGGGTCCGTTTGGAGTTGCAATCCAGAGCAAAGAACTTTTCCACATGAACAACTGAGCATTAGTTCTTGTAAATTCTGTTTTTATTTACTTATTAAGTGTGTGCTTGATAGCATCCATCTATTGATTTGTTTGCTACTTTGACCGCGAAAAGCCACAGCACGGCTGCGCCCACGTGATCCACTGATCAATCCTCACCTCCCATATTTAGTGTTAACCCAAGGGAACTGATGGAAATCAAGACTAATTCGAACCTGGCTCCTGCGCTTTTACCGCGCACATCACTGATGCAAAACTTGACTCCAACTAGGTCTGTTTCGTATGGATAGAGCCACTCGTTAAGCCTAGTGCTGTCACAGAAGCAACGCACTCTGTCCCGGTACAACCATTAACAACCTTGACTCAGAACTTTAGGTGGCGACACAAGTTAAGCGGGTATCTTAGCATTGCTGGCATCGAAGGAGGCGGAAGATGACATGGTTTTCTAGAACGAATTACCAAGACAATTTCGGAACGACAAGGCATGATTCAGCCTTATCATTCAGTGTACAGTTGAAGAGAAGAACCGTGACGTAACCAGCGCAACTATCATACTCTACGCAACCGCGCTTTATGTCGCGGAGTTAAACGTTGTGCACGATTTCAATTCAAACTATAACCTAACTGGATGTGTGTTAGGAACTATCCTGAGGCCGTGAAACATAAATTTCCATGCTATCTTCGGTACAACTTCAAAAGTAAGGTTGGTATTTTTAAGAGCAATAACCGCTTTTTGTGCTACACACATCATTTATCGGAAGTGCTTCATATTCTTCTAATACTAACATATACTCTCAGGCTTCATAACACACAGCCGCATGGTGAGCCAACAACCCATGGTTGGGTTCTATAGTGCGAGATGGAATCGCAAATGCACAGAATTCCGAACAAACAAGGTAACCATGAACACACACACACACACGCACACTGGGATCACTCACCGAGAGTGATCAGCTGCAAGGGTTCCGATGTTTCATTTCCACTGGTTACCATTTTCAGGACCAGAGCGTCAAAATGACCCATGTCGTTCTGAAAAATGAATACAGTTGGATGAGTACAAATCGCACATTTAGCCGTAGCTTGTCGATCCATCAACCGTCTGAACGGAACAACTGCTCTTTTGAACTCACTGGGCATTCGTGTATGGAACCAACACCCTCCTTAGAAAAAAGTGTGGTAGAGATAAAACGACATATTAGTCTATTTCGCTAAGATCACCATAGAGTGCGAGTGGTTAAGGGAGCAACTAATAGCTGGCATCTACATCACACTCATCTTCACGATTGAATGAAAGAAGTAACCGGTCCATGAGCCACGGTTCCCAGGAAATTTTACTCGGTGATATTCCTCCAGCTGGAGACTGATAATTGTTAGTTTTGGAATGCATAAAGTGCATTCGTGGCAGCTCAGCTGCAATCGCAGTTTCCTCGGACCAGTAAGCGTTTCGTCCATACGATGGGAGTAGGTACGGAGAAAAGCGCTCGACTTTATATATATATATATATATATATATATATATATGGTAGCTTGATAGCTGTTCTGAATGCTATGCTAAACCGTAGTTAATTCCGTATTATCTGTTGAAATGTTGTAAGCAGGGACTGAGGCAACGGCACGACAAACGCGCAACAGTTTGCGTACCAAAACGTCGGCACAAAACAAGATGGCTAGATTGGTGAAGCATACTTCAAAACCCTGCAACGGAGACCAGGTCACATCCACATCTTCGCTACTCCCCTGGTTCATTTATTCCGAATGCTTACGACAATTTCACGACCAAAAGCGGCATTACATTACCATTGTATTACATGGGCCTCATTGGTTATAATATCTCAAGCTGGCAATTCTCGTCCAGAAGCATGAGCACACGCACGGTGACAATCGATCGGTAACTACTCACGAGGGTCACGCCTTTCCGTGAAGGCGCACTAACACGTTTGCATGCAGATTAGTAGGCATCCCGTGTTTGTACTGATTCTTACTTAATACCACACATATTGGATTGAAACACGCAAAAACCCACCCGTTCCGGCTACACTGGTTAATCTGTTTTCCGGATGCACCACGGTGGAAAATTTAGGTAATTCTCACAAAATTCTGATGAACACAGTAGGTTGGCTTTCAGCCACCTGATTTAGAATCCATGAATGCTTTGCTGTTGAGTGTGACTAACCTTCACCAGTGTCCACGAGGTCACGCGCCCATCTGCACTGACGGAGAAAAAATTCAAGTTGGCATCTAAGTCCTTTGGTTGCCAGCGTACCTCCCACACTGGATCTGTGTGCTTTCCCGTCTTGGCTGTGCTCAAGTACAATGGTCCAGATTTACGTTGATTAATGTTGTACACTCCAACCGCGCCATCGTAGAAGCCAACACAAAGCATATGGGGAAGATCCGGATGCAAGTCAAGCGATAAAACTCCTGACTCTGTTTCAAAAATATATTCAGGATATTCCGGGTTCTTCAGCGTATAGAAGCAGATTAGGCCATTAGATTGTTTCAGAAAATCATCTGGAATATTATTGTGAAACAAGGATTGGCTGTAAATGTGTGTGGTCGGAATCTTTTTGTGGAATAACGGAGTTCAAAATGTCCTTTATGGCTACAGTGGGGTAAAGTATGAGATTTTAATACTTTCTGAGCCGAGCACTAACGAACTTTGTTTGTGTCGCATCTGGCTGAACAATCGTACTATGGTACGCACAAATTTTCAGCGGAACAATTGACGGCAGAACTCAATAGCAAATGGGTCGTTTAATTTTTCCTTTAATTTGGAAATTCTGAATAGTACAAGCAAGAAAGTAAACCAAATCACAGCCAGCTGACCTAAGCAGCAAATTTGCGCAGTACGCCCAAAGTCATCCAACTGAGAAGTTACCATGAACTAATGTTCAAATAGTCCAAACGAGATCTCTTATCCTGATGCCCGAGGGCTAAAAATTCACCCACTGTAATTGCACAAAAGCGAATTCTTGACTTGACTCAAGCTAAAGTGATGAACCGTGATCTATATGGGCTCAATCATGTTGTAGCGAGAACAAGGAGGCAGGGACTTACAGTCTTTACTGCCAAGGAATTACGGGTTACCGGGCTAGCACCTGCGCGCGCACCCATGGAGGACATTTCCTCCCACAACGCACCACACATTGTCATCTCGCTTGGCATCACATTCATACCGCGATTGCGTTCAATCTGTGGTTTCCCTCGCTTTTTCGCTACCGACCGTCATATCCGAACCGCACTTAATTCCCTATAATGCTCTTGATTTGCCCTATCAGAGTTACGTCGCTCTCTTTGGGGTTATTCTTGGAGGCGTGACCAAAGACGTATCTCTCCGGAAAATGTTGATCTTCACCACTACGTTCCTCTTCCTCTTCTCAGCGTGCGCCCGATATCATTTGTCGCTCATGAACCACTCACGGTTTGTTCCCTAGATTTCGAGCTGCTTTGCCTACTTTCGTCCTCAGTGACTTGATTAGTTTCCCCATTTCATATTTTCCGTGGTTTTGCCACCTCGTATATGATCCTCACCTTCCGCGTCACTACAGTGTTTTCCATGAAAGCACGTAGGTATCTACAGCATGTTGTCCTATTGGCCAGTTTTGTTAGTGACATCGTCACGTTACCAAAATGTTCAGGGTATTCGAACTCTTGGAATATGGTTGGAACAGATCGACAGGCAACGAAACCCCTGGAATAGTCCCACTCGGACTGGACCACTTGAGATGGCTTCTCAACCCATCTTTGTAAGAATACCTTGACTCATGTTTCAGTTGTCATGTTCACCTCTCTCGCTTGCTAAGAAATGCCGCATAAACTATGTACTAATTCATCTGAGCTGACGAAGCTTTCCTGTAAAAGCGGAATGTTGCCAAATGAATTCATCAGCTGATTGGTAGCAAGTCTCTCTGGAAACATGGTCAGATACTTGTCGGTACAAGACTATCTTTGAGTGCTTGGCTGGTCGAATGAACTTTACACAAAGGGACTTTATGTCTCCTCATACTTTGTGTGTCATTCACCTCCTATCGAAAGTTAGACTGTGATATTTGAAGGTAACCTGAGGGTAGCTGTAAGGAATTTATCCGGGGTCAAGAATTTTGAAGTCTTAGAATCCGCGCTTCCAGCTATGCCCACTAAAACTTAGACAGTAGTGAAGATTTTTAATAGTTCAAGTCAGCTCGAGAAAGTGTTTTATGCACCAACGACGGTTAACTGTTCGACTGTAACACGCACGTTTTCAGTAATGTAACAAAAAAGGCATGATTCAAGTCAAGTCATAAAGGTGGAAAAATAAATGGCAAGCACACTACTCTCGTAGGTTAAAATGGCTGGTGAATTATCAGACGACTTTGTTACGGTCTAACAAAGTCGCGTTTGATGAAGTGCAAATGACGGACGGTAAGTTTATATTGAATTGTACTTCTGTCTGGCTGTGGAAGTTGACTCGCATTCTAACAATGAGTTATGATGCTAGCCTCTTGCAAGGACTAGTATAATTGAACACAAGTATATCAAGACCGCTATATCGAAACAAATGTTTCCACGACCTGACGATTACTCTAAAGAGCTTATTCAGTAGACCAAGTAAAATCGCTGGAGAGTAATACTTCTGAAGTGGAAAATCACAAGCAACAGCAAAACCAGAGACAGATGAGGACCTCAAACGTGAAGCCTAGAACGATAATGTCCTGACTCTTGTGAACGTTTCATTAACATAAATTGATTAAGGTAAATCCCAGTCAAGTGTGCCACTAAGATACTTCACTGTTGTGGCTGAGTTCATACCATCAGCATCGATGTGTAGTTTGGGCATACGTAAGTTGTTGATTCTAATCTCCTCTGTGCGGTGGGAAAACGGTATCACTGCACTTAGACATTTAAAGTCACAGTTCGAGAGCTTTCGACCAAACCGCGAGATGGTTCAGAATATCTTGTACTCTGACTGAAAACGCAATGATCGATTGGCTGACGTCAAAGTCAGTGTCACCTGCATACTTCGGTAGGTTCGCCTCCTCCGGGACTAATACTGAGACGGAGCAAGTGGAAAATCCAACTGGTGGTATAATAGCTCCCTGAAAAACACCGGTGTTTGTGATTAGGTGTGACGAGCTTCTGATTTCAAAGCGAATAACCTGAGTGTGATTGATAAAATGATCTCTCAAGGAGAGGACGATAGGAGCATGTTTTTGGTGCCGATTAGATCCTCTAACGGCGATCCAAGGTTTACGCAGCCGAAGGAGCTTCCGTAGTCCAGAAATCAGATTCGGGTGAGCTTGATTCTATTGTTTAACGACAGCAAAACAGAACACACGATGCAAGCCACTGCTTCTTTGGCTGAGCTCAAACTGCGGTAAGCAAAATATATGGGATCATTTGACCATTTCTAAAGAGTGCTTTGTCCGAATAAGTTTTAACCCATCGAGATACAACCAATTGGTCGATGTTTGCCTCATTCCCTTTTTATAATTGGAAAAATGCTGCCACTTCTTAAGAAGCCGGGAATTTTTGTGGTTGCATGCCCAATATGTAGTGGAAGATTTGGCCAAGAAGCTAGTACATTTCCCGTGAACAACAGGAGACAGTCTGTCCAAACCGCTGATTTTACCAATGTAGCTGCTTCGGCCGTACGCGCACAGTTTCGCTGTCGACATGGAGCAATAAATCTGCAGACAACCTAAGCAGTACAAGGAATGGATGTTGAAATGGAGCATTGTACCAGTTTCAGAATTCATGATCCACTTTTTCCACATCAATGCCAGAGGGCGTAACTCACTGAGTAACTTCGCCTAGTTGTTACCACGTCCTCCTGAGTTCACCTAAGCTAATATTCCGAATTATGGCTTGAACGAACACGTGGTTTAGATTGCGTAATTCCTGCTTACCAATTACGAAGAGAATTCACTTTATTGTTGTCTGCTGAAATCCTTTTCTTTCTCTGTGCAACCGCTTAGGGTGGGGCGACAATCAAAAATAAACATCGAAGAGGGAAATAGCAAACCAGACAGCCTAAACACAATCTTCATACATGGCATGGCAGAATATCGTTCTAACCATGTTCAAGAGACCCGTACGCACGACTTAGGACAGTGGTGGTTCATTCGTGCGACACTCTTTGGATAATATTGTGGTGCTATCATTCACCAGGATATCTCTCTCACCAAATTATAGAGGATGCGGCCCTAGAATACTAAAACTTGTGGTTCAGTCAGAGCAACAATCAACAGATGTTTTGGATCAATGGCGGAGAAATCGGAAAAGTCTTCCTTCTGAACTTCGGTTAAAGGTCGCAGAAGCTTTTCACAGTTCAAATATTAAAACACCTGCAGCAGCAAGCGTACCGACGATGATACAGGAGCTCCACTTGACTGCTCCTCTACTAGACGCTGACGTAGGTCTAAACGAAGATTGGGACGTACCTTGGCCGAATCAAGTTACAGACGGGGCATCCTTATCCCATCAAATAAAGGAGCAACTGCCGACCTTCTATTAGTCGGCATTCTCCCACACATGATCCGTTTACCCCTCTGTGGGCACTTAGAGGCCGAGAAATCGGCCTGCTTAAATACGAATGCTCAGGTTCTTTTTGCTAAACTGCCCGAACTGTAAGGTCGCCAAGGCTCCGCCTCTCATGATTTCGTAGGTATCAGCGAGATTTGGTTGCACACGGTAATGACGCACGCGGAACTTTCGGCACTTGGTGTCGCTGATACGGAACGATAGGCTCACAAAAGGAGGAGGGGTAATCATGGATTACCTAAACGACTTCCAGTGCGAGGCCATGGCGGATTCAGACTCGCAGTTCCCCGACTCTCTGTGGTGCCGCTTGCAATTAAAATACAGGGACATTTGACTTATTGGCTTGATGTACTCTCCCCCTAACTCTACACGCGAAACCGACTGCCACCTAGCGGCTGCCTTAAGATGCAGTTTACAGCGAAATACACTCACATAGTTATCATGGGTGATTTCAACGTACATTGTTTAGAAACTCCTGCCACGATCCGAGAACAGTTCAAAGCCGATCTACAAGATCTCGTAAGCGGTGTTCTTCTTTCTAACCACATCACATTACCCACTCGGTTCACAACAGGTGGCAGGCCATCCATGCTGAATCTTGTGCTTACCAACCAGGAGCATATGACTGATGTTTTGATTTTAGACTGCCAGTTGGGTCGCAGTGGTCACGCAGTCATCAATTTCAACTTTGTCTGCTATGCAAAAATTCGGAATGAGAGTGATGAGACTGTGCGAATCATCACAAGCTACGATCCATTAGCTCAGCTCGTCAGCGCTAAAACTTGGTTGTTCTTTGCCGAAGAACCCCCGGGAGTCGCGTGGCTCGAGTTCGTCAACAAATTCAGTCAGCCGATTGCAGAGGCTTCAGAGATAAGAGTTTGCAATAAGTGTACATCAGTTGCTTTCGTTAGAAGCGGAACTCAAAAGTGAATAGCAGTACGCAACACAGCATGGTGAGTGTACAGAGAAGCTCTAGCACCAGAAACTTAGGTCAACTTTGTGGTCCAACGTAACCACTGCACTCAAATGCTAAGAGAAGACAAAGCCGCATATCAGCAGTACATTACAAAAACCTTAAGTGCTAACCACAAACTGCTGTACGAAATGTTAGGCAAGTATTTACTCCATTCAGGACGGCCGACGGCCCAACATGAACGGCTGTGGAAGCAGCAAACGCGCTGCGGAAGAAATATGCCCCCACGTTTCAGGGGGTCTTGACACCAAGCGATCTTCCAACTTTTGTCGTCTCTCCGCCAGGACTAACTCACGTCAGTTTTACTGCGGAGGCTGTATTGCAAAAGCTGATGTCTCTACGCAAACACAGCTCGTTGGGTGTCGACACCATTCGTTCAGAGGCACTAGAAGCAGCAGCAACCAAACTGGCATAACCTTTAGCTCAGTTTTTCTAGCGCTGCTTAGATCAGAATCAAGTTTCCTCTATGTAAAAGGTTGGAATAATAACCCTGATTCACAAAGGTGGAAGCAGAACTGACCCTTCCAACTACCGCCTAGTATCCCTTATTCCTATACTCTCCAAGGTTATGGAATCCATAGTTGCCGATGCACTGGTGTGCTATCTGGAAAACTGCAACCTCATCACTCCTTAGCAGCACGGTTTCCGTCGACAGCGGTCATGCTGTTTGCTAATCGCAAACAGCAGTTGGACCGAGTCAGATAACTCTGGAGAAGACGTTGATGTGATCTACCTGGATTTTTTGAAGGCTTTCCTTCGTCTAGACCATCGAATACTACTCTCCAAGCTCTAGCATTACGGGATCAACGACCCTCCTTTAAGCTGGATTGCTAACTTTCTACTTCAACGGCAATTAGTCGTCAGAGTTCGAGCTCTTTATCAGACTCCATACAAGTCGAGTGTGGTGTGCCGCAAGGCTCAGTTCTAGGTCCACGTTTGTTTTTGGTGTTTATTAATGACCTTCAACAGGCAATCGCTTCAAACTTCTTAATGTTTGCCGACGATATCAAGATTTGGCGCAGGATCCAGGCGGACGCCAAACAGCATCCGCTTCAGGGTGACCTAGATACGGTATACAACGGTCAACCCAAAAGTTACAGTATTTCCACATCAGTAAATGTAAGATACTTTCCATACGACGTCATAGCAGTTGCTCATACCGGTTCGGAACGAATATACTGCAACAATCAACCGTCGAACGTGACTTGGGTGTCCTGGCTCAAGTTGACTTGAGTTGATCCAGGCAATCGGAGAAGGTCTTGAAGACTGGGAACCAACATGTCGGGCTGCTGCGACGGGCATTTGTACAAATAAACAGCTCCATATTTCGACAAATGTTCATGTCGAATACGCAACACAAGTCTGGCATCCATGGCTGAAACACGACCTTAATGCACTGGAGCAGCCACAACGTCGGGCATCTAAGAACGTAACTGGAATGCGTAATCTTTCATACCAAGAGAGGCTGCAACGATTGGGGGTATTCAGTGGAAGCTATCGCAGACTACGAGGCTACCTGATTATGGCATACTTGATTCTGCGAGACCCACATCATATGTGCCACCCCTTACTGCGACTCAGCACCAATACAACCCTGAGGGGCCACTCATTGAAACTCGCTTTACAGTATAGCCATCTGGAGTGCCGCAGAAATTTCTTTTCTATTCGTGTCTGTCACCCGTGGAATGCTCTCCCAGAATCGGTCATGTCTGCGCCAACACTAAAAGTATTTAAGAGACGGCTGAATGACACACTCATCCACTTAGACTTTGTTACTAAGTGGTACATCTCCATCCTATACCTGGAGTTTACTATAGAATTATTTGAGGTTAACTGCGGGCGCTGTGAATTTAAGCGGACTACGGCGGAGCAGACAATAAGTGCTTATTTTCATATTTGTAGTACTAACTGTTTCACATTGATCAGACCACATAGTTGAACTGCAAGTCGCATCGCCGAGGAATATATCATTTATTTATTTATTTCATTATTATCACTATTTTATTTCAATATCACCACCAACTATCCAACGGGACTTGTAAAGCAACTTTGTTAAGCCGAATAAATTCATCTTTCATTGTTGTTCATAGTTCGTGTGAATGACGAGAATTTCTTATAGACAGCAAATGTTGAACAGAAGATCAGAAAGTTTGTAAATCGACAGCAATAAGTGGGTACTTAGAATCAAAAACTAAATTTAAATCCGCCGATGATATCACTATTTGTGGTCGATCAATATTCTGTGGGAAACCCTACTTCCACTAGGAAGTTGTGATTTTTGCAACGCGTATCCTCCTTATGGTTTGTCTTAGTGTAGATACCTTCCAAATAGCGCCTCTTTTGCTTTCAAGTGAAGCTGACAAGTGTTGGTAATCAGCCGAGCACCTTAATGGTCAAATCACTGATCCACTAATCAACGGAATCATTGAGTTACACAGTGCTCGATGTGCTGCTTCACGAAGTACCTGAATTACGCCAGTTTGGATTACGCTAATTACGTCTTTCTACAGGATTTATGTATCCCAGGGAAAAAAGAAGACGGCGCATAAGTGAGCGACCAGATTTTACTTTGCCCACGCTTTACATCAACGACCAATGCACCTCGTGTATTTCTTCATGCTTACACTTGATTTTTATTTTACACAGGTTATTTATCGACATATTCATCTCGGTAGACGATCAGTAGATGATTCACATATATGTTGGTTTTATCGCATTTACCCCAACCATCCTACGGGACCTGTCATTCACTTGCTTTTATCCGGTGATATATCATTTTTCATTGCTCGTTGAACTGATATAATTAATGAACTTGTAGAATACCGTTTTAGGTTGTTAGCAACAATATGGCTGTGCCACTTGCACCTGACAACACCACCACGAATCCGTAATATATTTACCCAGTTCGATACTCAGTATTCTTTATAGCTAAGAAACTGAAGAAAATAGTTGGAAACCGTAGAATAAACAATATGTTAGTTTGCATCGATCACAATCTTACACGATCCATGACCCACTGCAAACAAATCGCTGTACTTTGGGGACCAGCACAGGGCGGTTACTGCCAACTTCTTTGCTTTTTCGAAAGTGAACATCCACAGAGGAAGAAGGGTTCCGTTTTGTTCTCGAAATTCGTCGGATGGGTCTTCGTAGTAGGCGAAATCTTGTGCAATCTCGTCATGTGTATTTTGGTTGACCATACGTTCAACAATTTTGATTGGCTGCGCAAAACGACTCAGATCATCTGACTGAAGAAGGGGTTGCATAAAACCATTTTAGTCACAGTAATCAGTATTATTAGTAAACAACCAGCAGCACTAGAGGATAAGCATAGATCTGAACCAGGGTTCCATAGCTTCACCTCAACTTCCGATGCTACGGGAAATGCAAGACGGCTACTCCTACGTAGACATTCTAAAGAAGTACCCGCCTTTCAGGGCACGTAAATCAAAGCGCGCACAGCTGATGCTAGTTCCAGCAGATTCAGAGAACTCTTACTGCTTCTGAATGCATTCCTATTCTTATCATACCTGAACAGTTGTCAATCCCCGAGGTTGGTTAGTATCACGTGAGAATGCAATATGCTTTGGCCAATGGGTAAGTGGATGTAAGTCCTGCGTACTTTAATTTGTTATAGTTTGAAGCTGTCACTTGAGGACGGTCGAAGTACCGATCTATGTGGCAACCAGGTCACTCAACTGGATGTTCCGCATGCATCGAAAGCGGAGCAACCGAGTACATTGAGTCGTGATCGAACGGTGGGTGCCAAATTTCTGGGTGCCCGTTTCTAACGGTTAAGAAACAAAAGTTTTCCTGTAGATTCGTCGCAGTTAGACACAGGTAGACAGCCACCACACATCCAGGAAAGCGCTAGACGGCCGTTTCGTCTTATTGGGACTCGGCAGTAACGCGCATCCGCCGAATCCTGCCGGATTCGAACCCACGACCTTACTCTTGCGAGTCAGCGACTTATGTTATATGCATTTTATAACATGCAAGACAGTGAAGGATGAGCCGCGCTATATCGCAGTTAGATACCAATCATGGTGATCCGCTGCCATCGCCAATAGCTCAGTGACATAAGTCGAATACTCGCAAGAGTAAGGTCGTGGGTTCGAATCCGGCAGGATTCGGCGGATGCGCGTTACTACCGAGTCCCAATAAGACGAAACGGCCGTCTAGCGCTTTTCTAAATGTGTGGTGTCTATCTGCCTGTGTCTAACTGCGACTAACCTACAGGAAAACTTAATAAATCCTCCTACCACTTACAAAGGAACAAAAGTGCCCACAGGTTTTATAATAAATGCGCTAAGCAAAAGTGATATCTTTCTTACTTACGGACCCCACTCTAGTGTCAAGAAACCCCTCCGCTTGTTGTGGCAATGTTGCATGACGTTTACTGAGCTACAGTTCCTTCCTACGGACGGAAACCGCAAAATCTAGGGACAAGGAATATGCCATGTTTGTCGAAACATATGTCTCGGCCGGGCTGAAGCTTCCGTTTACTGGCAACCACGATTATACATCGCCTTTCAATGGTACCAACGGTTCTATCCTGCTGCGGACTTCGTAACCTATCAAAGATCTCAAAAATTTTCCAGCTAAATGATCGTCACAATAGTGAGGCTGTCTACACTGTACACAGAGCATTTGGTGTTGCTACCTCGAGTGGTTACTAACAAAACTCATTAGTAGACAAGATCTCGGGTGTCCAGTATGGAACTGATGGCTGGTACTAGATCTTTTAATTTAGCTGCGAGGCAGCTTTCCGGCAAAATTGAATGTCTGGCAGCGTGACACGATAACACTGGTTTCATACCGTGTAGCCTGAAGGAGTAAAACGATTGCCAATTGTCTCCACAACACTTTAGGTTGTTGCCCTTCCAACACTGGACTTCGGATTTCTTGCGTGATTGTGAAAACTAATCATTTTAACAATTAGACGATCGTTTGTCCATTGAATCTAGACTATAATCTGATTCGAGGGAGTTAACTGTGAAAAAGGGCGAGAAGTGAGGTCACTCGATTCTCACAGTGCATTTTTGTCATTTTCTAATTCCAGGTTGGATCCAAACGACCAATCCGAATCTTTTGTCGAGAGAATTACGCCCTTGGCTGGCAACCGACCGAGTGAAGGGCGTATGAACTGAGTAATCTGGCACCGGCTCCCACTGGACACGATTCTATGAATTCGCTCTGCTGCTTTGCGAGAAGACTATAGCCAAACGTCAGGGGTGTTGTACATGAAGTCAACACCCAACCTCGGCTTAGGCACCCGGATAGTATCATGCCCCTATACGAACCCATGAATTTCTATGCATTCTGTTCGGCTTCCATTTTACGACAACCATAACTTCGCTTGACCTCCGTGTCTATCCGCAGACTGTTTCAGATTTGATATATATATATATATATATATATATATATATATATATATATATATATATATATATATGTGGTTGGCGGCATCCGATTTCGGATTTGCCTGTCACTGTGGCAAGCCACAGGACGCCTGCGCCTACAGAGAGACCATGGATGGCTTGCGCTGCACCACCCACAGCTCCAACCACACACCCCATCTCCAGTGTAAACCCGAAGGGCATGTGCATGGGAACCACGTTTCATCAACGGAGCTGACCCACACTCCTTCACAGGCAAACACAAGCACGCTGTATTTGGGGAATCAATCGCATACACAAGGCGGTGGCTGGACCGTAGTCCGCTCCCCCACTGAGTGCATGGAACCGCTCTTTGAGTCTAGCACGGCCACAAGGACCGTGTACCCCGTCCCCTCCAGCAACGACCAACTACCTCCTGGAGCCAGATGGACGAGATAGTGGGTAATAGACAGGTAGGCACCTTGTCAACATGCACATCAAGCGCAGCCACACCGGGGATATCGAGCAACATCCAGTCATTTGAAACGACAATATCACATGAAATAAATCGAATAATGCATACAGATACGATAACATAACACTTCAATAAATGGGCATATGAAATAAATTGGTTGCAAAAAATCCGCTATAGTTTCAAGACATCCGAAAATATATTTTAAGCAAATGTCACAGTCGCGAAAATATTATCAAGTTAACTACAATTAACTTGAGCGACGTGTGCAAGTTAACAGAAGATAGTTCACGTAGGCAATAATGAGACAAACTAGCAAACCTAAAATAAAGAGACCTAGCATGCAAGCAAGTGGTAAGTAAATCGAACGCAACGTACCTACAAACGCTGCGCTGGTTCTGCCTAGGTTCTCAGCAGGACCAGTCGTCACTTCATTGGTGGCCCCGAGTGGCCTCTCTCGTGGCTCACTAGGCCTGCCTGACTAAGGTAGTCGCAACCGCATGTGCTACAACACCATGCTTCCAAAGTCGATGGAGTACAACCCATCCGCCTCTACCGCTTCCGCACTTGTCGCTTCTTCTCCGCATGCATAAGGTATATCTCTTGTATTTTGGCAACTACCTTCGAAATTAGATTGCGCCATGCAAGCCGATGAACCGCCTTTGATTCCCATGACCTGCAATCAAGATTAGAACGTGAGAGGCTCACTTTCATCAAATCCTGGTAACGAAGTTTCGGTTTCCCCACAGGCGGTTTCTCAGTACTCAGCTGATCATACAATGGTTGTTTCGGTATTCGCGTCGAATCCATACGGCTCACATGATCCCGTCGGCACCGGCACACTAGCCGTTTCGTAGCTGAGCAAGTGCTCTCTGCGTTTCATCCAGTGTCGGCGTGTCCGCCAGACTCACCTTCACATCGTTGCGCTACAGTCCGTTCAAAGTAGGCTACTCGATCTCTGAGGAATCCCAACCCGGCGATACCTACAGTGACTCAGAGACCACAAGAATTTGAAGGGCTACCGGTTTAAGTTATCCATGCAATACAGCTGTTTGAATGTCGCCGAAACATTTACTTCCTTCGTGGGTATCAGTCTTGGTATGCCGTCACTAATTACGTTGTTTCTACACCCACTTTATCTATTCTTAGAAATTGCCTCTAGGTTACCCTGAACCAACTACATTACGAAAATTAGCCTGTGAACATCGAGAGGAGAAAAATTGTGAAAACGGCGCACCAACCAGCATTAACGTACACAATCGAAACCGGCTTTTTTTACCCAGGCCTCAGTGTAGACACCATGGTGAGTCCGCCAATACGCTCTTTATTTAATCAACGGGTCTCCACCATTTGCATGTTTGTTATTTTGGCCATCCCAAGGGACTCGTCGAGCGTTTGCTTTTTTACCTGTAATACACCAACCACGCAAAGATTCGTAGTTTAACTGAGACATTATATTAGTGCCCCTATTCAGGACTACAGTCAGACAGTACTTTTAACTTATAAGGTTCCGCCTGATATAGGATAGACTACCTAGTTGCATACAATGTCCAAGAAATTTAAGTGTATCTAACAAAATGGTCAGTATTTTACTGATACAAGTGAAGGTAAAAACAAATCCTAACTATACACAGAAACGGTGGTAGATTGTTTGAGGAAGGACCGTATCACATGCAAAACTCAAAGAACACGGGAGCTATATGTTGAAGAGTGAAAATGTTTAAAAAAAGAAATATAATGAAAAAATGGTAAAATGGAAGGCAAATGCCGAAGCCGATTAAGAGATTTTATCGGCGAAAATAATCTTTCCGAGCGTTGTTAGACTGAAGCCGTACAAAAGTACGGCTTGTAGCAACCCAAAAGATATTTTTATCTCATGTACACTTTTGTTACTCAATGGTACAATTTTGGTTTTTGTTTCAATGCCAACCCTACGCCCTTTTTACCTACATCCGGCTCATCACTTGTGTCCACGGGGAGCTCGGACATTAATATACGCTCTCGTCGCTTCATCTGCTTTTCGTTCGATTTTAGCCCTTCTCGAATACAATCCGTTGTGTCCGTCCTTCCGGTTTGCTGGTATCCGCACCAGAGCAAGGACACTCTCGGACTAGTATAGACTAGTCCTACAGACTGCTGTCACACTTAAACTCAATAAAACCAGGCTCGTATTTGTAAGAATCAAGCTCATTTTGCCTCCATTCTATATAATTTTACGTACTACCGCGCTCAGTTTACAGTAGACCCGAATTGATAGTCGATATTTATGTTTTATTTTCATTGTCACTCAAGGTGGACTGTTCGTTAGCTTTTACACTCATCCATCGCTACCTTAATTCTTTTTAATGCATCCGCTGATCGATCGATATTGAATCTTTTCTTTATGCTCGATTCTCTG